GATCAGGCAGGGCATGGGGGAGGGGGAGGTCGATGAGGGAGCTTCAGGGCCAAAGGGAGACAGCTGGGACCTTGGCAGGAAGGGTGCCTGAGTTAGGGATCTAATTCTGGGAGTGACCTCAGGCGAGGCACTCCCCATGCCAAGCCTCAGTTTCCCCATCTGTACAATGGGATCACAACGGCCCCAGGACCTTTTATAGTGCAGGGGCACTGACTGGGCTGGCTAGCACAAGGGCCAGGTGGGTGGTAACACTGACCAGGACTGAGAGGTCATCCAACTTGAAGATGTCATCAGGGACTCCAGAATTCTTCAGGCTGTTGGCTCGGGCCACAATGGCCTGGGGATAAACCATAAGGGTCCATGATTCCTGGCTTCCACCCCCAGAAAGCAGCAGAGAGGCCGGGCAGAGGTACCTCCTCAGGAGCCCCCCCCGAGGCCAGGCCTGAGTGCTCTCCCCTCTCTGGCATCTGCTCGAACAGTCCCTCCACCTCGCAGGTTCTTCTTATCCTCCCAGTGAGCTCCTAGTCAAACCTCAAAGTCCAGCTCAAATGTGCCCCAGAGCCCAGCACAGGGCCCTCAGAAACATTTTATGCTCAAACAATCCCCCCTTCTTAATTCCAGGAGGCAAGATGGGCGTGTGAGTCTGAGTTGGGGTTTAGAGCAGGAGAGGACTGGACCAAAGAAATCGGAACAAGGACTGGGAGAAAGTCTCGCTTTGTCTTCCCTGAGGCAGAAACCTCCCCACACTACGTACGTGCAGAGAACACAAGGATGAGAGTGGACAAGGCCAGGGAATGGTGCCGTGACTGCAAGCAACGACAGGAGCAACGGCAGCCACCTGACACTGTCCAGCCTAACGTCCCTGCGGCACCATGCTGCTGTCCCATGTGGTAATCGCTGATGCTCCCAACCACCATATTTGCAGATGAGGCCCAGAAAGTAGAAGGGACTTGTCCAAGGTCACGTAGCCAGGAAGTGGCAGAGCCCAGCTTTGAACTCGAGGAGCCCAAGTCCAGATGCTGTGCCCTTAACATCTCCAGGGCTCTGGCCTTGGATGAGAGGACCCTCGCTGAGGCCCACAGGGTTTGGCCAGGGCCTGATGTTCCAGAATGTCAGAGCACCCTCCTGGCCAAACCCCACCAGACCCCAGTTCTACCACTACCTGGCTGTGTGACCTGGTGCAAGTAACCTGCCTTGGTGGCCATGTTGCCTCCTCTGTGACACTGGTGTCGGTCAGGAGTATGTGAAAAAAATCCACATAGAACAGTTGGAATGCTGCTCAGTCTGTACTGGCTTATTATTGTAGCTGTTGTTCAAAATGGGTGGTGGGAATTTGGATTTATTTTTAACCTTTTTCCCCACTGAATTCTGTGATCCATATGGGTTGTTTTACACAGGGTATTGTAACTTCTTGCAACAAGAGGGACCCTCTTGTGACACCTGGGCCCCTGAGCCTGACATGGAAGTTAGCAGAGATGCTGGCCCAGCCTGGGGTTTGGCCCTGCCCTCACTTCCCGGCCAGACTTCAGCCCCAGCCCCAGGCCCAGCGGCCGCCTGGCCAGCACTCACCCGCAGCGACGGCAGGCTGGACAGCTCCCCGTGAAGTGTGGTCAGGTTGTTGTGGCTCACGGACAAGTGTTCCTGGGCAGGGACAGGGGAGCAGAGGGTGTCCAGAGTCCCTGTCTGCCACCACTCGTTTGTACCAACCCGGAGGGCCCTTGGCCATACACCCTCCTTTCCTCAGACCCAGCCTCTACCTGCACACCTCTACCAGCTCACTCCGTCTCTGCCAGCCCTGCGCACAGCTGTTAGCGTTTTTCCTCTCTCTGGAGAACCGTCTGCCTTCTCCGCAGGCTCTGCCCACCTGGCTCAGCCATAGGGACCCTCCCTGCCCGCCCAAGCCCCTTACCAGCTTCTGCAGGGCAGCCAGCTCCTCTGGCAGGTAGCAGAGGCCAGTGCGGTTCAGCTTCAGCCATCGCAAGCTGGTCATGGCCTTGACATTCTCAGGGAAGTAGCCGCCCTGGGGGGTGGGAGGGTCTCACGGTGAGGCTTGTCTGGGAGTGTGGAGTCCCTGCTCGACTACCTGCCATGGCCCACGGGAGCCTTTGGGGAGCAAAGAGCCAGTTCTCATCAGCTGTGAAAGCGGGACGTGTCACTTCATCACTCTGTGCCTCAATTTCTTCATCATAAAATGGGACTAATAAAAGCCCCCACATGACAAAAGCGGTGGCCTAAGATTTGTCTCTCTTGCTGGATTCAGCCCCAGGAGGGCCGGCACAAAACTGGCCTGTTTCAGGTGATATCCCAGCACCCCGATTTGTGGTTAGCTTGGCTCCAATCCCTTCGTCTGGCTTTCCAGGGCCTGACTGGGCTGCCTGGGGTGGGGGTTCCCCAGAACCTCTGCGAAGGCCCCACCTGTGCCCTCACCTTGCCATCAGCATACAAGCGACTCATGGTGGGTCCAAAACCCTGCTGTGCAGAGGCCGTGGTTCCCAACCCTGCCCGGCACAGCCTGGCTCTCATCCCCCACACGAGGATGTCCCCCTCAGCACCTCCAGTCCTTGTGGCACGAAGTCTGGGGCAGCATGTGTATCAGTGCCCTTGGCTGGTGCCCCCTTGCCCCTATGGCCACGTTCCCGGCTGGTGACTTAGTCTCTCTCCCAGTCCAGCGAAGACAAATGGAGACCTCAGGTAAGGATGGTGGGGATGGAGACAGGAAAAGGGGGTGGCTGCCTGCTGTTAGTGTCAAAGCTGTGTACACGTGGGTAAATGCAGCAAAAACCTGCCTGCCTTCTCGGCCCCAGCCCCGGCTGACACCTAAACCGACCCCAGCCAGACTCTGCCCCTCACCCGCCTCACAGGCCAGGCTGACCCCTGGCCAGCTCTCCTCTCTCTTCCTTCTCTGCTCCTCGCCTTTGGTCCCACACTGCCCACCTGTTCTTGAGTCCCTAGAACCTCCCTCTCACCAACTGGCTGTGGCAGGCTGGGCTCCAGACCCTTGTCCCCCTGCTATATCAGTCCAGCAGCTGCTCAGACAACTGCCACCCAAGACCTCGCACACCTGCCTGACACACCAACAAATCTCATTACATCCCATGTGTCCTAGAGGGCTACTTTCAAGCCCCTTCGCTGGATGAGAAAGCCCAGGTTCCCAGAGCGGAAGTGACTTGCTCAAGACCACACAGGATGGGAGTGGTGGTGGCGGGGACAGGGCAGTGATGAGTTGTCTCCAAACCCGCCCCTGGGCAGCCAGGCCACCAGTCCTGAGTCAGGGCCTGGCTTGGGTGTGTGACCTCAGTGGGGCGGGGAGGTGGGAGCACCCCACCATGCCTCTCTCCAGCCCGGGGCGGAGAACAGGGACACGGGGTGGTGGCTCCCAGCCGGCCCCTCGGCGTGACTCCCAGCCCAGGCGTCTGCCCGGGGGCCGCGGTGCCTCGGTCTTCCCGTGAAGGCACTGGCCAGAGGCATCGGGGGTCCGTTCCGGGCAGCGGGAGGCCGGGGGAGAGCCCCACCCAGCCCCGGTCGCGGTCCCCGGCGGCGCGCAGGACCCGGAGGCGGCCGAGACAGGAAGCGGGCACCGGCGCGGGCGGGCGGAAGGGAAGGCCCGCGGGGAGGCTCGGCCCGCCGCCGGTCCGGCTCACCTTGAAGTCGTTGCCGCTGAGGTCCACGCCGCGCACGAACGGCAGCACCCCGGTGGCCTCCATGGCGCCGCTCTCTCTGCCGGGCCGGGCGCGGGGGTGGCCCGGGGAGCCGCGGGCTGGGCCAGGGCCGGCCCCGCCCCTTTAACCCGCCCGAGCCCGCCGCCAGGGGAAGCCGGCCCCGCGCCCTACACCGGGCGCACCCGGGTAGCTCCACGGGGAGGCGCCGGCTCGCTGGGCCTCAGCTTCCCCGTCTGTGCGGCGACTGGAGAGGCCTGGAGGATGCAGGCCCCCGTGCTCGAGCAGGAGGCTTCCACAACCTCCACGCTCAAGGCCCAGCGCCCCAGGCCAGGGCTTCACGGCCGCAGGTCCAGACACTGTCCCCGCCGGGCCGCTGCACGGCTGAAGGTCGCTGTGACCCCGGAGAGATCCCAGACCCAGGCGCGGGGGCGCAGGGGCCCAGAGAGTGTCTGCGCGTGGGTCCCCGGGTGCCTAACTCCTGCTTCTAGCTCTCCTTTCCTCATGTGTGAAATGCTTCCTAGGGTTGTCGCCAGAAGCAAATGGACAAATGCATGTGTTGCTGGCAGCACGCAGCAGACTCCCGGCAAGCGGCAGGTTATTCCCGCTTGCTGCCAGCACTCCTCGTGTATTGGTTGCTGGTGCCCCCGCTACAACGGGGGCTGCAGAAGAGCCACGTCAGTCTCAGTCCCGCTGTTCACACTGCTCCGCCCGGGCGGCCTGTGGCAGGCCCCGGTACCTGGGCCGCAGCTCATATTGCACGACCACCCTTCACAGGGTAGAGGGGTTTACCCCTTTTACAGGAGAAAAAACTGAGGCCCGGGCGGAGAAAGGCCGACACAAGGCCGCACGGAGCAGATGGCAGGGGTGGGCTCTCGCCTAGCTATGTGCCCCCAGCAGACCCACAGGTAATCATGAGGCCACCAAGGACTTCCTGCAGAGGTGACCTAAGAGGTCGGAGGCGCGGGCCTCTGGCTAGCTGCCGCCTGACTGTCAGGCCTCGGAAGGAGCGTAGACCAGATAGCCTTCTCCAAAGCGGAGGCTCACATTACAAACGCACAGGCCACCGGAGGACAGCCACTCACACCGCCTGTCGCGGACTCGGAATGCAGCCTTGCGCCTTTAAATTCGGAGTACGGCAGCGAGTCCCGCCTCGAGGGGGCGTGGCCTACCCGTCACTGGCTGAGCCGCGCAGTATTTTGGAACTGGTGCGCGGGAGTCCTGCGCTCCGATTGGAGCTAGGGCCTGCCTGTCCGCGTGCCTCTGGGGTCAGTGGTTTCCCCCGGGCCCTGGGCGTTCGGTTCCCGGGTGCTTCACGTTCCATTCCCAGGCGTTCCGGGCTTGGGGGCCCGCTGCGTCCTCCAGTCGCTGCGGAGACGCCACGACGCAGGTACGGCCGGAGCGCCGAGGGGCAGCTCCGGGGGTCACCCAGCCCCGGGCGTGGCGCGCGTCCCGGATGCAGATCGGAGGCGTGGCCCGCGGTCTCCGCGGGGGAAAGAGGGGAGGGCTCGGGGCCCCAAGGCTCGAGTTCGAATCCCAGCCCTGCCCCTTTCCATCTTGGGCATTTTACTTGGTTTCTCTGGGTCTTGGTGTCTTCTCCTGTGAACCGGGCTGCAACAGGCCCACCTAGGGGCTGCTGCGCGGCCTGCTCAACCCTGGCCCAGGGCAGGCGGGTTTGGCGGAGGAGGGGAAGGCCAGGCGGCATCCACGGCTCCGCTGTGCAGTCGGGTTATTTTTAACCACCCGCGCCCTCTCCCCCTTCCTGGAGTTGGAAGGCTGCGGGTTGGGGCCTGCGCGACCCCTCTTGAGAGCAGGGCTGAATCCCAGTTTAGACAGGTGAAGGATCTTTAAATAGCTTTACAGTTTGCAAAGTGGATTCTTGGTCCCGCGGGGGTGGGTGGCAACACTGATCCCCGTGTCACCGATGAGGAAGCTGAAACTGGCTCTGGGGCCGTGGTGGATCACCCGTCTGGCCTACGATCGCCCCAGAGCCCGTCTTATTTTTAGTCTGGGGCAAATGCGCAGGTGTCCGTGCTCAGTCACATAGTGCTTCAGCCTTCAGCTACTCCAGGCCTCTTGTCACTTGGCAACTGAGCCCCTGGCACCCACAGCATAGCAGGGAGGACAGCAGTCCTTGGTGCCCCAGTAGGCTGTGACCTCATGGTCATCTCTGAGGCCTCCCCAGCAAGACCTCTGCCTGGTGTCTGATGGGTCCCCTAAGCTTGCCTCTTGGTCACACATCCCCCTCAGCTCTCAGTGCCTGAGGACAGCGTCCCCTCGCAGAACCTGAGGCTGGGGCTTGGTGGACTGGACCCTGGGAGATCTCTGCCTCCACTTCCCAAGTGCCTGGCCCCACCCAGCGACAAACTGCAGGGTTGCTCACTCTCCTTGCCGCTGCCTGTGCCATCGGCCTTCAGGCCCTCATCTTACCTTCTTTGTTGCTTGGCCTCGTGGCAGCTGAGGATAACCCCCGAGCCCCCCAACAGTGTCCCAAGCCCCGGAGGCCCAGATAGCCCTCTGTCTGGGGGCACTGGACAGCCCTCTGGGTCAGTCTTTAGGGTTGCCCCTGACAGTGGGGCTTCAGCCGTGGCTTGCACATGCCCATTGGCCTCCCTGGGCCGCCTGGGCCTTTTCCCTCTGCTTGTTCTCTCACTTGGTAGCTCTGCCTCTGGCGGCTGCTACCAAGATTTGGGTCTTTGCCCCTGAGCATCACACAGGTGCCCGCCAAAGGTCCAAGAGGCTCCCCCAGGCAAGCTGTCTGGGACCCCAAATTGCTGGTCTCTGGGCTTTGGGTTCCTCCTGAGAGGATATCAGGGAGGGCTGCTGTGCCTGGCCCTTGTTAGGAACCTGGGAAGAGGCAGCCTCTGAGGACCTGGCCACGTGGCACAGGGAAGACCTATCGGACTCTGGGGGTGGACAAGAATCTGGAGGCTTTGCATTCGTGGGTTTGAGACCTCACCACTTGCTGGGTGGCTTGGCAGCCTATAGCTCTGTAAAATAGGGGTGGTCATGATAAGACCCACCTCATGGGTCTTTGGTGATGTCAGGGGTCCTGGAAGGTGGTTGGAGGGAGAGAGGCCCTTCCCATAGCTGCCACAGGGCCTTTATGAGCTCTTCTTTCCAGGGGTGGGTTGCTTGCAGCTTTGGGGGAGAGGGCTTGGCCGCTCCCCATCTCCTTGCAAGAAATGGGGACTTGGGGCCCTAAAGCCCAAGTTCCAACCCCAGCCCTGCCCCTTCCTGTCTTGGGCTCTTCACTTGGTTTCCCAGGGCCTTGGTGTCCTCCCCTGTGAATGGGTGGCCCTTGTCTCATGAGACATTCTCAGAAATCCCTCTGTGGGCTTGACTGTTACGCTAGCACGATGGCAGCCAGAGCTCCTACCCACACTGTCTCAGCTGCCAGCCTGGCTGCCCGCAGCCTGAGCTGTTGCTGCACCCTTGGCTCTCTTACAGGCCGACCATGGCAGAGTTCTCCCAGAAACGGGGGAAGCGGCGTGGCGACGAGGGGCTGGGCAGCGTGGTGGACTTCCTCCTGGCCAATGCCCGCCTGGTGCTGGGTGTGGGCGGGGCTGCCGTGCTGGGCATTGCCACCCTGGCTGTGAAGCGGGTAAGACCAGGCTGGGCGGGTCACGCCTGAGGCTCCCAGAGGAGGATGACAGGGCTGGGGCCTGCACAAGGTCCAGGGGGCGGTGGGGACTGCCCGAGGCTGGTGCTGGAGCCCAGGGCACCTGCTTCTCCCCAGCACCCTGGTTTGCTTTGCCCCTGGGCTTTGCCGTGGCTGCCCAGGCTTCAGATGCTCTGATCTGTGTCCCTCTGCCTGCAGTTCATCGACAGGGCCACTAGCCCACAGGATGAGGATGACACCAAGGGGGACAGCTGGAAGGAACTGAGCCTTCTCAAGGCCACACCGAACCTGCAGCCCCGGCCCCCGCCTGCTGCCCTCAGCCAACCTGTGTTGCCCCAGCCCCCCCTGCCCTCTGCCCCAGGTGAGTGGCACCCCTTCCCTTCTGACGTGGGTGGGTACCTCTTTGGTGGTCACATTCAGGAGATGCAGCCAGGCTCTGCCACTGATGGATGCTGTGACCCTACACACGTCTGTTCCCCTCTCCGGGCCATGGGCTCCTCAGACATTTAATGGGGATTGTGTTTCTTTGCCCTTCTACCAGAGCGAGGTGACAGCCCTGATGGTGGGAAGCCTCAGATGGGGAAACTGAGGCCTGGAGAGGGGCAGGACCTGTCCCACTTTGCACGAAGCTGTCGCAGCTGTAGGGCCAGGGTGATGGACTCTGGGACAACGAGCACTCCTCGTCAAGTGCTCACTGTATGAGAGGATATGAACTAAGTGCTTTTTCAGGTGTCATAACCAACGAGGAAAGTAAGGGGCAGGGACATCACAAAGCTAGTCATCAAGTAGGGTTCTGTTCTGACTGGTTCCCTGTCCCTTCACTCCGCAGAGGGTCCTGCAGACACTGTTCCTCATGTGCCACCTCAGCTCAGCTCCCCAGCACCGCTGTGCCTGACGTTCCAGGAGAAGCTGCTGGCATTTGAGCGGGCCCACGTGACCATCCCAGCAGCCCAGGTGGCTTTGGCCAAACAGCTGGCTGGTGACATTGCCCTGGAGCTGCAGGCTTACTTGCGGAGCAAGTTCCCAGAACTGCCCTTTGGGGCACTTGTGCCCCAGGGGCCGCTCTACGATGGGCTACAGGCAGGGGCCGCCGACCACGTGCGTCTGCTGGTACCGCTGGTGTTGGAGCCGGGCCTGTGGAGCATGGTGCCGGGTGTGGACACTGTGGCGAGGGACCCTCGCTGCTGGGCTGTGCGCAGGACTCAGCTTGAATTCCACCCCCGAGGGAGCAGCCCCTGGGACCGCTTCCTGGTGGGAGGCTACCTTTCCTCCCGCGTCCTGCTGGAGCTGCTCCGCAAGGCACTGGCTGCCTCCGTCAACTGGCCAGCGATTGGCAGCCTTCTCGGGTGCCTGATCCGGCCCAGTCTGGCCTCGGAGGAGCTGCTGCTCGAGGTGCAGCATGAGCGCCTGGAGCTCACAGCAGCTGTGCTTGTGGCAGTCCCTGGGGCCGATGCTGATGACCGCCTCCTGTTGGCCTGGCCCCTGGAGGGGCTGGCCGGGAACCTCTGGCTGCAGGATTTGTACCCAGTAGAGGCCGCCAGGCTGCGAGCCCTAGATGACCATGACTCTGGGACCCGCCGACGGCTGCTGCTGATGCTGTGTGGCATCTGTCGTGGCCACTTGGCCCTGGGGCGGCTGGGCCTGAGCCACCTGACCCAGGTGGTTCTGCGTCTGGGGGAGGAGGATGTGGATTGGGCGGAGGAGGCCTTGGGGGAGCGCTTCCTGCAGGCCCTGGAGCTGCTCATCTGCAGCCTGGAGCGGGCCAGCCTGCCCTGCCACTTCAACCCCTGCGTGAACCTCTTCGACAGCTTGTGCGAGGAGGAGATCGACGACATTGGCTACGCGCTGTACAGTGGCCTACAGGCACCTGAGGTGCTGCTCTAGACGGGTGGGGACGGGGGTGGCCGGCAAGTTTTCTGATACTGGTGAGCTGTGCTCGTCTCCCAGGGATTTGGAGAGTGGATTTTCTCTTGCTTTTAGCCAGGATGAAAGAGGGTACATTACCCAAACCCAGGGCATTGGTGTGTGCTTGGGCTGTGATCACCAGGATCCCTAAGCCTGAAGAGCGTGGGTCACCGTTGCCTGAGTGCACCTGGACTGCCTCGGCAGCATGGAGTGCCAGCCACTCACGCAGGAGCCCCACGTTCCTTTGGGGTCAACCCCAGGACTTTGGGCTCTGTCCATCATCACCAGCAACGAATCCACTGACAGAACGTGGCTCCTGCCATCCGAGGCAGGGATGAAGGCAGTTCCATTTTTCTGCTGAGAGTCATTTAATGCTTTCCTTGGGCACCAGCTCCAGGCACCTTGAGGCATCTGGTGCCAGGTGGTAAGTATCATGTTTGTTCCATCCCCTGGAGCCAGAGTCACCTGGTGTCCCTGGAGGACAGCTTTTTGGTTGTTAGAGGATGGCGTTTTCCCAACGACTTCTGAGCAGTTAGTTTTCTTGTTCTCTTCGGGCTCCAGAGCAGGAGCTCAGTGTGACTTGCTGCCCACCTGATACCTCTGGGGAAGGCCCCCATTTCCCCCCAAACTAGGTGAGTTTTCTCTACAGGCAGCTGAGGGCCCTTACTTGCTGGGGGAGCTGAGGCCCTGTGCTGTCCGCCTTGCCTGCAGCCGGGGTGTCCCACTGTCACTCCTCCTGGCGCCACTGGGGAGCAGAGGACGTGCGCCTCCTAGAGAGGCCTGGTGCGCAGACCGGGCCCCTGCAGCATGCCATGCGAACTGCTCTCAGCGGATGTCTGTATTCTGGCTTCGAAGTCTGGCAGAGGTAGCAGGGGCCTGGAGGAGGGAGATTCCAGCTCGCCTCCCGGGTGCCTTCCTGTCTTTGGTATTCTTCCTGCTGAAACGAAGCTATGCCTCGGAGAATGTGAACAAGAATAAAAGGAAAAAATTCTAATGTGTTTAACTTGTGCTGGGTAAAGGGGTCTCGGCGCTTTCATACGTGGCTGTTTGGGGTTTTCTGAAAGTCCCGTGGCTTGGCCTGGCAGCTTGGCAAAGGGCTTGAGATCAGTTTGGAGGTGGTAGGGTTTTAAAAAGTAGCGTCTTAGTCTGTTCGGACCACTGTAACAAAATGCCATAGACTGGGCGGCTTAGAAACAACAGAAATTTATTTCTTATACTTTTGGAGACTGGAAGTCCCGGACACTAAGCCCAACCATGTGAAGTCCACACTCATGACTTGATCACCTCCCGAAGGCCCTACCTCTTAATGCTATCAATTTGGGTGTTTCAGCAATTAGGATTTCAGCATATAAATTTGTGGGGGGACATAAACTTTCAGTCCATAACAAATTACGTGGAGGGAGAAAGTTAAAAGTCTTAGTGTGAAGTCTTGCTTTAGCAATGGGAACCAACTAGTTCAGGTTTTGTTTCTAAGGCTGAACTGCCAGGCCCAATGTCATGCCCGCCTGCCCTTTCTGGGCTCGGTGGGGCTGTCCCACAGCCCTTCAGCCAGGTCCCGTCAGTTCAAATACCCTTTCTCCACCTCCCTTGCCTCTCTGTGTGGCCCCACAAGTAGGGAGCAAACTCAGCCCCCCTCGTGCAGGTGAGAAGCCAGAGCATCTCAGCGTTCCCCAGGAGCCAAAGTCGGGCTCACTTCCTGTCACCACAGATGACAGATGAGGCCTGGGGAGGGCTCTGGCCACCCCAGCTGTACCCTTTTCACTTGCTTCAGCTCTACCCACACCATTGTATCTCCTCAGGGGACACCCCTCCCCCTTCTAACTGTGGCTGCAGGAGGCAAGGGGAGCAGGACAGTATGGGACAGAGGGGGTGGTGGTGTAGGCCTCCAGGTACAGCGCGAGGCGCAGAGGCTGCAGCAAGGGTCAAGGGGTGGGAGGCTGGCTTAGTCAGGGTCTGTTTTAGTCTCTTGGTCAGGAGCTGCACCTGGGCCTTGGTCCCTGGTGCTTTGAGCCATTTTACTGGCAGAGGGTCGGCAAGAGAGCAGCCCAGGCAAACCTGTGCCTCGGTCCTCCCATCTATAAAATGGGGAATCGGGGACGCCTACGTCCCGGGTGGCTGTGAGGTTTAACTGGGGTGGCATTGCGGACCCAGCGCCTGGCACACAGTGAACTGCCCTGGAATGAGAGACTGCTGGGCCTCGCTGCCCCTGCCCTTCCCACGTCACGACGCCCCAGCACAGCAAGGCCCTCCCAGGTGCCAGGCGAGCCCCCTGGTCACGAGGCCGGAGGCCGCTGTGCAGGAAGTGAGCTTGGTTTAGCTCCTCTTAGGTAACCAGCCCCACCAAGCCCGGTGTGGGCCGCTCTGTGGAGGCCACCTGCTTCAGGCAGCTCTGAATGCTCTTGTCATTCTCTGGTTTTGTAGGAAAAAAACCAAGATGAGTTAAAAGGGAGAAAAATGTCCATGGTTACATCACCTAGTTAATGTCTGGGACTTTATTTCTAGCCAGAGAACTGGACACAAGCCACCGTTTTTGCTAGGAGCCTTCTCAGGACCCGCGTCCTGGGCTCCACCAGCTGCAAGACAAAGTGCTGCGAAATCTCACCCTCTTCCCTTTAACCTGCGGACGATCCCAGCTCTGCCTGCCTGGGCGAGCCACGTGTGGACCAGCCCAGGCCCCAGATGTCTTTGTACTGAGAACCTTCCATGGTGGTGGCAAAACGTGGCACTCCGATTGCTTATTTTAGTTTCACCAAGTGACCCAAAGCCAGGAGACTGTGGCGAGGCACAGCCTGTGGCAAGCAGGAGATTCTACTTGCTCAGAATGAGGGGATCACCAGACCGGTGGGATGGGCGGGGAGGGGACTGCAAAATGGAGAACAGAAACTTACTAATTTAAAAAATGTCACCTATAGATCATCTTGGCTAACTGAAGGATAAACCTCACCAAATAGAAAACGTCCTTTTAGTAAACCCACTTCTTTTCAAGAATACTTAGCTACAGGGGAATCCATCAAGGGAAGATCATGATCTCCCCAGGCTGACCTAACTGGCTCCCATCTTTGCTATTATTAAAAAAAAGAAAGAAAAACCCTGAACAGAGTTTCTGTGCACACAGCTTTCTCATTAGGAGATTCCTGCGAGCGGACAGCATTCGAATGTTGCTCAGATCCTGAAGGACTGTGCCAAATTCGGTTCTAGTCGGGTTAGAAAACACCCCCGTCCCCCAACCCAAGCCCCGAACAGCAAGGAGCAGGGCAGAAAGGTCACAGTGGCTGGGTCTGGGAAATGGAAATGCACCCCCTGCCACCCCTTACTGCAACTTCCAAATTTACTTTGGAATGGGAAAGTGAAGGTGTTAATTCATACTCCCACCAGCGGTGCAGAGGCTGACTTGTCACTTGCACCAAGGAAGAGCAGTCACTTCAGCATCAGGGAGCCCTCGGCTACAGCGGTCTTGCTGGCCCCAGCCCCCCTGGGGCACACCCGCCTGGAAGCCAGCGCCCAGGCTCTCGAGGAGGGTGCGGCCTCGCCTTTGACTGCACAGGTCCTTTCCCCAGCCTGCCTTCCAGGGGGCATCCTTCAAGTGGGGATTTAGTGGGCCTTGAGGTCACACCTCAGAGCCCCCAGGCACAGACACCAGAGCCTGGGGAGGCTCCAGGGCAGGGGTGGGTGGGAGTTGCTCCAACCTCTGCCCTCTCAAAGGAGAGGCCCTCAAGCTGGTACACTATTTATGCCTGTAACATTCGCATTTTTCTTTTGTAATCAGAATAAGCCTTAAAAAAAACCAACCCAATTTATTGAGGAAGCTAAGGTTGTAGTGGACAAAACCCAAGTGTGTCAGAAAGCAAGTACCCATGATTGGCGAACGCTCCTGATCACCTCTGCACTGCTTGCCACTTCCCGAGACATCCAGCCCAGCTAGTTCAGTGGGCTGGGGCCTCTGGCAGGCGGGGAGGCCAGACTCACAGGGTCACTTGCTTGCATGGACTTCTGAAGGAACTTTCCAGGTTCAGACTGCAGGCGGAATCCTGACGCTCTCCCAGTGTGTGGGCTGGTGGTCTAAAGTGGGAGGGTGGTAAGACCCAGGTGAGCAAGCTGAACCGGGACCACCTCGTATTCTAGTCTGAGACACCTGGACACTGAACAAAATCCAGCTAAATGTGAACACCCCAAATTCTTGGCTGCATTACAGGAAAAGCAGGCGGTGAATTCACCCCAGAGGGCAGTGGCGGTCTCTGCCTGGTGTCATGGCAGCTGGCATCTCCAGGCGTAGGTACCAGTGCTGCTGGGCACACTGACCCTAGCTCCAGGGGAGCAGCTGGCTGGGCACCAGGTTTCAAGGCCAATTTAGATGCTTGGTAGGGGAAGGCACTTAACCCACAAGAGCCTTGGTTTCCTCCATGAAACGACAGGAGATGATGTCCTGCAGGCAGCCAGGAGGCTGAAATCATGAGACACCTTGCCCAGTGCCCAGTCTTGGTTGGGCCCAGCAAGGCAGGGAATGGGTATCACTTTCTTCTTGGTCTTGCATTGTACAAGCTGCAGGAGATGGGGTTCAACACAAGGATTAAAAACCTCCAGTGAGTGGGTGAATGAGTGGGCGAGTAGAAAAAAAAACCCAAAACTTCCATTCAACTGGGGGGGCAATTTCTTGCTGCACCGCATACTGCTAACCGGATCGCGTTGTCAGACTCAAATTGCAATTGAGCCCGACTGTAATCCCCGCTAGGGAGCCTCACAGCTGAATAAGAACACCCCATTGCAGACATGCCATGAGGCTGCAGGGACAAAGGCACATGCCCAGGGTGGCAGACCGGGCCAGGGGAGTTGGGGGCCAAGCTCGGGTCTGTCCGTGGTGCAGCCCAATCCTGCAGTCCGTGGTCTCAGCACATAAAGGAGTGGAAACACCACAAATGCACCTGGTGTCCATCATCTACAAAGAACTCCTACAACTCAACAAAAAGATGAACAACCCAATTTAAAAATGCATAAAGGATTCAAATAGACATTTCTCCAAAGAATATATACCAATGGCTAGTAGTAAGCCCATGAAGAAATGGTCAATATCACTAAATAAATGCAAGTCAAAACTATAATGAGATGCCACCTCTCACCCACCAGGATGGCTATGATACAAAAAAAATAAATAAATGAGTAACAGCTGTTGATGAGGATCTGCACGCATGGCTGGTGGAATGTTAAACGGTGCAGCCACCATGGAAAAATTTGGTGGTGCATTAAAATGTTAAAACGTGGAGTTGCCATATGACCCAGCAATTCTACTCCTAGACATATGCCCAAAATAACTGAAAATAATCAGACACTCATACATGAATGTTCATAGAAGCACTATTCACGACAGCCAAAGGCAGACACAAACAAAATGTCCCAACAACTGATAGATGGAAGACAAAAAGTAGACTAGTGGTTGCTAGGGGCTGGGAGGGCAAAACCCCACGAATGCAGGGCCATGACCCGCATTACTGGCTGAGATGCTCCAGGAACAATTCCAAGAATCTGCACTTGTAAAAATTCCTCCCTGACGCCACTCAGGACACAGCCGCTGGTCTCCCTGAAGGGTATGGGCTGAGAGTCCCATGACCACAAAACAGTTCCAGTTTCTCATCTCGCATCTCATCTCTGCTCATCTTCTAAACCACATAACAGAGCCCATAGGGCTGTCCGTTATTCATAATGTTCTTGTGAAGGCGATCAAGGAAACCCAACCACCGCTGGAAAGCACAGGCAAGGGGAAGTTAGTGTTCCGAGTCTTGCGTTGGGCATTTTCTCTGCTCCAAGGGACAAACTGTGGGGTGGGAAGAAGGCAGGCTCAGTGTTTGCCACATGGACAGGTGGGCTGGCAGGGGACCACCAGGAACAGTGGCCCGCAAGAGGCCCCAGGGTGAGAGCTCCCTCTAGCACTGGCCGGCATTCATGCCTGTGGCTCCTGCAAACGTCCCCTGATGCTCCGCATTGTCACGGGGCAGAGCGCAGGGCTGGATTCTTTCTTGAGGCACACAGACTCTAGAGAGTCCTGGCTTTTAGGTGAAAAGGGAATGAAGCTGCTTCTGCAGACAGAACGAGGGCTACTTCCCCATGTTACACCCTCCTCCTTGGGATGTCCAGGCTGCCCAGGAGTGCTGGCTGCTCACTCGGGGTTTCTGCAAGGGAAGGAAGCCTCTTTTTTTTTTTTTTTTGAGACAGGGTCTCACTATGTTCCCCTCGCTGGTTTCGAACTCCTGGGCTCAAGAAGCAACCTTCCTGCCCCTGCTTCCTAAGTAGCTGGGGCACTTATTGCTTTGCACCAGTGTCTACTGTTAACTGTGACCTGCCTAACTTGTGACTATCCTTGGGGCGGAGGGTCACAGGAAGCAGATGTGTGACTTCTCAGCAGCGGCTACGGTCATTTCTGAGCCCTGGGCAGAGGGCCCCTGTCCAGCAGCGCTGACCTTCTCTAGACAGTGGTATGGACCTTGTGCCCCTTAACACGGGAAGGTGCGATGCTTTCTCAGCTTCTAGGACAACGAACGGCCACCTGGTCCTGGTTAACTCATTAAGGGGGCAGGTCTGAGAAAGTGGCCCTCACTACCCTACCCCGCCCTCATCTGTTCTGAGGACAGAAAGGACGAGTGTGTCCAGGCTGGTGGCAAAGGCTGCACTTCCGGGGTTTCTTAGCTGTAGACGCTGGGTCTGCGGAGTTGGCCCGGGGTCTTTTGCTTCTGGCCTCTGGACCCTCGGTTCTTCCTCTCCCTCCTGGCCAGGGTGGGGCTCCCAAAGTCCCTGTGGAAGGAGTTAGGGGAAGACCAAGTTTAGAACTGACACACTCAAATGGCAAGAAATACAGGTCACAGTGTTGGGTGGGGCATGTCCCAACTTTTACTCAGTCATGTATACCTCACAGGCCAGGCCCCCTCACTCATTGTAAGATCAAGACATGATGTGTTTTCCATCTTATGTGACCTGACACCTCCTCTAAAGAAGCCTAAGCTCCTGGAGACATTGTCACATGCTGATTGCCCTAGTAAGGGGACACTGGTGTCACTGTGCTGGCCCTTTGTAAGAGGTAGAAACCCAAGCGGGCAGCAAAGACAAGCAGCCTGTGACCTACAGCCTGCTTCCTACCTGCCATACAAGGGGACCTGAGCTCTGGACCTGAGCTCCAGGGCCTAAACAGGCCTCTTGGTGCTGGCTACCTGACGACCAGGACAATTCATCAGTTGGCCTGCAGGTCAGATGCCACTTCCGTCCAAGTAGGAAGATGAGTGGCCCTGGTATTCCTGAAGTGTGCAGGCCACACTGCTCTCACACACAGAAAATGTGGGTCTGTCACAGCGACGCTGTCTCTTGTCCCTATAGCACTGGCAGGTGGCTCTAAGGCCTATACTTTTTACTGAGTCTCTGGGTTCCTCTTGTACATGCAGAGCTGGTGTTATAGTCACCACCTGAGACTGACTCCTTTATAAAACAGGAGCCCTATGCAAGTAGACAGGTACCATCTTATTGTTGAGGAAACTGAGGCAACAGTCTAAGTCGTTTGTTCAAGGTCACATGACTACAGAACCAGAGCCGCACAACCCCAAAGCTCCCACGAGGCCCGTTGGCCACTGTCAGATGTTTGATTACGCTCTGCTGTGCACCAGTGTGGCAGCAGCCATTCCAAAGTGCCCTCACACACACCATTCACCTCCATCCTGTATCTGGGTGTCAGTTCCCACAACACCTATTTCTGGGACACTGGCCCAAGCTGTGTAACCCTGGGTAGGTTACTAAATAATCACCAGGGTCAGTTTGTTCATCTGAAGATATGAGGCTGATGCTAATAATCTTGCCAGGGTTACAGAGGCTGTGAAGAGGGACTGGGCAAACCTATGTTCAAATCGTGGGCTCTGTCACTGTGTGACCCTGTGCAAAGCCACTTTGTTGGTCTGGGCCTCACCTTCCTCATTTGTAACATGTGAGCACAATGCTGACCTGATAAGGATGAAAGAAGATGCATGTGAAGTACATTTAGCACAGTGCCAGGCACACGAAAGCTACCCAATTAATGGTGGCTACACTTTAATCTGGAATGAGGACTGTGCAGTTCATCACTTTGCTGAAAGTGAGGAAACGGACACAAAGGACAGCCCAGGTGCCCCTCCTGATCCCACCGTGACACTGCCCTGCCTTCTCTGTGCTGTCTCTGGTCTCTGAAGCGGGGGCACTGTGAAAACCCAAGGCAGGGACTCACATGCCCCTCTCCACCTCACCTGGCGCCATGTTCTCGTCGACCCACTGGAAGAAGCCGCACTGCTGCTCTCTTGGCTTGGCACACGTATGGAACTGGCGCCCCTTATTGGGCCCGTCCTTCTGCACAGTCCGTGTGACAGTGGGCTGGCTGCATAGGCAGGACGTGCCACTACCACTGCCATCACCAGGGCTGCCAAACCCACCCAGGTGGCTCCCTGAGCCTGGCAGGCGTCCCAGAGAACCACCTGGGGGTCTTGATGCCGGGGCAGCAGGCCCTCCTGCTTCTGGATGGCCACTGTCTGCCCACAGGAAGAAGTTGCAGCCACCCCCATTGCACTTATAGAACTGCCGGCCCTGGTTGGGGCCCTCCTTCCGGACAGTGAGCAGCACAGCCTCTTGGCCACAGTTGCAGGTCACGGAGTTGCTTTCACCAGCAGCAGTGGGTGGGGGGAGGAGCTGGGCCAGAGCCTTTGCGGGCCCAGCCTGTCTGTTGCCAGGAGGTTGGGGGTGGCTGTGCTGGCTGCCATCCATCCTGTTCAGGGACTGGCTAGCCTGCAGGTGGCCAGAGGGCTGGCTAGCTCTGGGGGGGCCCCGTGAAAATCTTAGGTTTAGGATCTCCCTCAGGGTTTCATCACATCCGCCGACACAGCCAACAAACTCCAGAGGCATGGTTGGGGGAAGGCTACCACGCTTAAACTTGAACTTCAACCTGGTGAGGCCAGAGGGTGAGAAAAAACGTTAACAACCAGGTGCCAGCGTTTCCCTGCTCCAGCCCCAGGCTTCTCCACATCTCTCACGCTTCAGGAAGCCCATGTGAAGCCCTTAACCAGCCACCCAGGAGCACCTGCAGCTGTCACAGGAGCACAGTGGGAAGCAGTGCAGATGACACCTAAGACTCTGACTGATCAACCCAATATGGACACCTCTGAAAGGTTCCATTTCTCTATACCAGCTGTTCTTTTTTTTTTTTCTTTTATCTTGATCCTCATTTTATAGATGATACACCAGCAGTTCTCTAGGTGTGATTCCAGGGCCCCTGAGGGTTTCTGGGCCCTTTCAAGGAGAGGTTGAAACTATTTTATAACAATGCTACGAAGTTATGTCTGTTTTGCTATTGTTCTTCCATGTGTGTGCTCTAGAGCTTTCCAGAGGTTACAGTATACACAATAACTCAGTAGACTGCAAGAGCAGATACGGAAAATAGGAATTTTATTGTAAAAACCAAGTTATTTATGTTAGTATGCAATGCATTTGCTGTAAATGAATTAATATTTTAAAAGGTGTCTCCACTTTAATTTTGAATATGGCATAGATAAACAGCCCACAATAAAAGCTCTGTGGGCTCCTTGATGATTTTTCAGGGTGTGAGGGGTCCTGTGAGTAACAAGTTTGAGAACCCCTGTCCTGCACCAGGGCTCTCCATTTTTAATGCGTGAATAATTTCCTGAGCCCAAAGCAGCAATGATCTATCTGAAAAGGGGAGGGAAAGGGGCCCTCCTGGCCAGGGATGCACAGCCCAGAGCCCTCTCCCACGCCGGGCTTCCACACACACTGAGGCGATCACGCACACAAGACACAGCAGAACTGGCCTGGGCCAGCTGACCTGGCTGCCACTAAGCGCCGCAGCTAAAACCCTAAAACCCTGTGTGGCCTCAGGGTGAGACTCCAAGCTCTCCCCTCTGCGTTCTGGTGGGAGGAAGGGCAAGATGGGCAACATGGCTGCACTCACTCGGAGAGGAGGCACCCGGCTCACCTGTACACAGGCTGTGGCTGACAGACCGGACACACGCTGCCGTCCCTGCTGGCCTCCAGCACCGAGTCGGGAAACCACATGGCCGTTCGACACTCTGGGAAACCCGTGCAGCTGAGGTAGAACCTGAGGAGCAAGGGCCAGGTGAGACCACTTACCTGGACACACAGTCACTGGTGTTCAACAACTTAGAAAAATGGGCCTATTTACTCCGTACTTCCCCCAAAACGAAGCAGCTACTGCTGAGCCTGCTTCGTCCTTAAAGAAATACCAGCCAACAAGGCAGCCGTGGAGCTGCCGTGCTCTGGCCGTGTCACACATTCTCCAAGTTTCTGCTGCCTGCCCCTCTGGGGTGGGGCCAGCACTCCCTCATTTGCAGGTGAGTAAATAGAGGCCTGGAGCGCTCTGGAAACCTGCCCAGAAACATGTACGGAGGGAGGGAGGGAGCCAGGCCTGGAAAGCATCTTCGTGCCAAGGGCCTCGCGCCTGGTGCCCACGCTGCTTGGTGTTCTTGGCCAGCACATCTCAGCGCCTTCCAGTCATGGAACTTCAGGGTCTTATAATTCCTCTGCGTGTGCCTGGATACTACCAGACAGGAAAAACCAACCCTAAACCCTATTTTTTTTTTTTTTTTTGAGACAGAGTCTCGCTTTGTTGCCCAGGCTAGAGTGAGTGCCATGGCGTCGGCCTAGCTCACAGCAACCTCAAACTCCTGGGCTCAAGCAATCCTTCTGCCTCCGCCTCCTGAGTAGCTGGGACTACAGGCATGCGCCACCATTCCGGGCTAATTTTTTTTTCTCTCTCTATATATTTTTAGTTGTCCAGATCATTTCTTTCTATTTTTCAGTAGAGACGGGGTCTCGCTCTTGCTCAGGCTGGTCTCGAACTCCTGACCTTGAGCGATCCACCCGCCTCGGCCTCCCAGAGTGCTAGGATTACAAGCGTGAGCCACCGTGCCTGGCCTAAACCCCAGTTATTTAAATAGGAAATCCACAAACTCAGAAATGGAACTTATCAGATGAACCCTGGCAAGCTAAAGCCTGCAAGACAATCTCCAGACCCCCCGGGTGACTCTGAGAAGAATTCCTTTGTTATCAAGTACTATACCTGGAGAATTCCAAACTAAAACAGAAGTAGCCTTTCTCCTTATGTCCCAATGATTACTAATACAATAACCTACTGGTGGCAAAGGAAACCATCAATAGCATTTATTATGCACTGAAATATATGCCCAGGTAGTGGGCTAAGCCTAGAGTGGCCCTGACTTCTGTCTGTGGGTGGCATGAGCCCTGCCACCTGCTTCTAGGTCTAGCCCACAGACCTCTTGTTTCTGAGAGCTGGGGGAGGGGCCTTCTCTTCACCTGGGCCAGCCAGGCCACTGAGGGCTGTGATGAGGAGGCGGCAAACCACCTTTCTCACTGGCAGCAAGGAGGCAGCATGATTCTGCAGTCCAGGCAGAGGAGAAGGGCAGTGAAGTCCTGGGTTCAAACTCTGCCTTTACTGCCCACCAGGGCTGAAACTCTCAACTAGTGCCCCCAGCCCACTAAGCCTCAGTTTTCACTTTTTTTTTTGAGACAGAGTCTTGCTCTGTTGCCCAGGCTAGAGAACCATGGCATCAACCTAGCTCACAGCAACCTCAAACTCCTGGGCTCAAGTGATCCTCCTGCCTCAGCCTCCTGAGTAAGCTGGGACTACAGGTGCACACCACCATGCCCGGCTAATTTTTTCTATTTTTAGTTGCCCAGCTAATCTTTTTTTCTATTTTAGTAGAGACGGGGTCTTGCTCTCGCTTAAACTAGTCTCAAACTCCTGACCTCAAGCGATCCTCCTGCCTCAGCCTCCCAGAGCGCTAGGATTACAGGTGTGAGCCACCGCTCCAGCCTGTTTTCACTCTTTAAAAAGTGGGGAAAAAGGCTAGGTGTGGTGGCTCACACCTGTAATCCCAGCCCTTTGGGAGACAGAGGCTGACTGCTTGAGGCTTGAGGCCAGTTAGAGACCAGCCTAAGCGAGAGCAAGACCCCATCTCTACTAAAAATAGAAAAATTAGCTAGGCATGGTGGTGTACACCTGTAGTCCTAGATACTCGGGAGGCTGAGGCAGGAGGATTGCTTGACCCCAGGAGTGTGAGGTTGCTGTGAGCTATGTTGATGTCACTGCACTCTACCCTGAGCAACACAGTCAGATCCTGTCTCTAAAAAAAAAGTGGGGGAAAAAAAAATCCCTGCCTTGCAGGCTGCAGAGTGATTATGAAGATGGAAAGAGACAATGTTTACAGAGCACCTTCCATCATGCCAGCGAGGGACGGCACCTGATGAATGACAGCCTCCATCCCTGTCTGGCACTTCTTTCCCCATGAACTTCCTCCAGTGGTCAGCTGCCAGCAGGGACAAATAGGCCAGACTAGGCAACCTGATCCGGGGGTAAATTGCCCACTCAGATCTAGTACATGAATATGAAGAGGGAGTTGAGGTTTCCAGGCCCAATTCAGACCAGTATTTGATGAGCACCTACAATGTGTCAGGCAAAGTGCTGTACAGTCTTGATCTTTTTTCCTGAAAGGGGTGGCCTTGCAAAAATAACAGGGAAATACCTAATCCCACAATTTCCTCGGTGATGGTTAAAGATCAGTCCTATGAGTTCTCTCACTAACAGGCACCCTGCAGAGTTCTGCTTTGCATAACTTCTGGAGAGACCAGAATGAATGGAAAAGAGATGTCAATCTCTCTTTCAAAATTGTTTTTTGAGAATCTACTTTTACAGAGTTCTTGAGTAAACAGCAGGAGGACGAGCTACAGCCTCAACCATATCTCGAGGACAGAGTCACATCTCCGGTGATAATGCCCTCTCCAAGGAAAAGCAAGGAACAAAGTCTTGGACTTTGTCATTCTGCAGTTTTTGTTGTCTACCTGCTGCTGCTTTTGTTATCAGCTGACAGGCAGCACTTTTTTTCCTCTCTTCATCCCCCTTAAAATCAGCAAAATCAGCACTCGGTCTCGCTGCTGGCACCCCCTTCTCTTTCTTTGGGATGCCACGCCGTCTCTCTCTCTTTCTATCCCCCTCTCTTTCTTCTTTCTCCTCTGAGAAGGATAAAATAAACTTTTTCACTTTTGTATCTTAATCTTTTCGTGAGAAATCTTTCTCCACCCTCGCCATGAGCGCCTACCAGCCTTTTCACCCTAACCATCCTAACCCTTAGAAAAGCTTTGTGAGGCAGACACTACTGGCTTTCTGAAAGATGACCTTGGTGCTCAGAGTTGTTAAGCTGCTTCAGGCCACACAGCTCACTTCAGAGAGAAGTGGGATTTGAACCCAGACCCATCATGCTCCTCCACCACTCGCCACACATTGAATAAATGATGTCCTACCCACGGTGGACCAAAACACCCCACTATTATTCAGTCCCTCACCTCCTCTGAGTTCCCACAGCACTGCACACCTCAAAGGCCTGTCCCCACTGTGCTATCCTTCTAGTCCAACACCTTGCTGGGGCTGGCAACAGGCCAGCCTTTAACTAATTCCATGGAAATAAAATGGCAGGGCCTTTCAGAGAGCTGCCCAGCCAACACAGCAGGTGCTGGGGCACAGAGGCAGGGCAAAAGCCAGGGCACTGACCCGCCACTCTTCTTGGTCTTGAGGACCATGTCCTTGTTGCACTGTGGGCACTTCCTGATGGGCTGCGGCATAGTTGGGTAGATCTCTTCCTGCTGGCCCACTTCTGTCCCTTCCCCAAAGTACTGGGCCAAGGCCTCGTCCAATCTGAAGAGAAGGCAAAAACACACATCAGCTAGCAATTGCTGCAAACCACTTACAACATTCTTATCTGTACACAACATGTGTGACCTTGGGAACCAGCTGGTAAATGAGCCACAGGCCTGCTGCAGAGAACGGAGGGCAGAGAGAAGAGAGTGAGATTATCAAACAGCCCTGGCTCCTGGTTCCTGGCCAGAGCCTGGGAGGAGTCAGGCTATAGGCAGATAATTCTGCCTTGTCACCAGCCCCATATGAAACAAGTAAAACCCCACAGGATCTACACACAAACTCCAGAAGTGTCTGCCTTAAGTTTAAACTAGTTCATGCATTTCTTTTCAAAATTAGCATGGGGCAGTCTGAAGGATAAGAAAGAACAAACTATTTCCTACTATACTTTCACAACACACTTCTAATACCGGCCGTGTAGGTTTTTTCCACCACACACCAAGCAATTCTTCAGCAGACACTAGCTGGACGTCCTCCCATTCAGTTCAGTTCTGGGCTATGTACCTGGAGAGCGTTCTGCAATAAGGCCTCAGTCCCACAAGACTGCCTCCTCTTTAGATGCCAGTCACAAATTCCAGGCTGCTCTTCTGACCAACCAGTTATAAACTGGGCTTCCTAGAACCCCCTCCTTGGGTTTGGTTAACTTGCTGGAGTGGCTCACAGAACTCAGGGCAACACTTTACTTACACTTGCCTATTTATTACAAAGGATACTACAGATGAAGTCAGATGGAAGAGACACACAGGGTGAGGCATGTGGGAGGGGGCGCTGAGTTTCCAAGCCCTTTCCAGGAACGCCACCCTCTAGGAACCTCCACATGCTCCGCTATTTGAAAGCTCGCCAAACCCAGTCCATGGGTTGTTATGGAGGCTTTATTATTTAGGCATGATTGATAAATCACTGGCCATTGGTGCTGAACCTAACCTCCAGCTCCTCTCCCCTCCCCAGAGGTGGGACCAAAAATCCCAACCTTCTAATCACAGGGTTGGTTCCCTGGCAACCAGCCCCAACCTGAGGCTGTCGAGGAGCTCCCTGCCATCAAGTCACCTCATTAGCACACAAAAGTCACTTGGAGGATTTTGAGGGTTTTAGGAGCTGTGTGCCAGGAAACAAAGACTAAATATATATATCTTATTATAAATCACAGTATCACAGATAGAAAATACGTCATTTCTAACAAAATGCACACCGCTGCTTGCTAAATGGCCACCTCTAAATGCCTGAGAACAAATGAATCATATCCCAGCACGTGGGTTTACTGATTTAAAAGACTATGCTGCCTAACTCAAGACAATTAAATTCAAGAGAAGGGCATTTCTAAAACCATTAGCCCAGAGTAACTGGAGCAGATCATGCTGACTATTGTTTCTATACAGACAAAGCTCTCCAGAACCCCCAGGAGGAAAACCCAAAGGGGAGGAGTATGGTGTGGCAGCCCCAGGGCAGGGGGTGAGGATGAATCTAGTAGGGGAATAGCCCCCAAGAACTCCCTCTGCTCGCTGGGGAAATGGCACTCACTTCTTCGCTTTAGTCACTGCTTCAATGAAAACCTGCTTGTATTTCTGCACCTGCTGCCTCAGAACCACCAATTTGTCCTTCTTGCCCTCACAGATCAGCTTCAGATCAGCTTCCAGCTCAGCCCGGAGGTCAGGCTTAGACATCTCATAGCCCATGGAATCATAACCTGCAGGGAAAGAGGGTGCTCTGTGAGGGCCCCCAACACCACTGCCCGCATCCACTGCCAGCTCCCTCCTACCTTACCTTCCACAAGTCCCATGCCAAGGTGCCCAGGGAGGAACCGCTTGTCTGGGGTGAGTCCCACGTACATCCGGGCTTTGATGGTCTCGATGTGCTCGGCGTGGGTGGCATCAGTACCTAGAAGCCATTTCCTGGTTACTCTGAGGTAACACAGACAGCTGCACCCAGAGGGCCAGGGCGCCTCGCTCACACCACAACTCCCCTCTGCCCGGAGGGCCTATGCAGGCAAGATGCGTCTGTTCCCATCTGATTCATAAGAGAAATCACAAAGGCAACCTCAACCTCACATCTGATTCCTCATCAAAGCTGTCGATTCCAGCTTGAAAATTCCTTTAAATCCTCTTTCCCCCTCCTGTGTCGCAGCCACAGCCGGAGTCTACCTCTTCCCATCTGCCCTGTTACCACACCCTCATCCTCATCCTCCCCATTTCTGCTCCCTTCCGCCCATTCTCTAAGCTGTGGCCAAAGGGACCGTTTAAAATGTAGCTCTGCCATTAGGGAAATGTAAATCAAAACCACAATAAAATACCATTTCACACCCACTAGCATGGGTATAATTTACAAGATAATAACAAGTGCTGGTGAGGATGTGGAGAAAATGTAAAATGGTGCAGCCACTGGGAAAAATGGTTTGGCAGTTCCTCAGAAAGTTAAAAGTAGAGTTACCATGTGAAATGGGTGGCCTTGCTGAAATAACAGGAAAATACTCAATCCTACAATTTCCTAATAACCTCTAAAGATCAATCATGAGCTCTCCCTACTCCCCGGTCTCTCTCTCCCTAGCTGGCAGGCACAGTGCAGGGCTCTGTTTTCCCGAACATCTGAAAAGAGCCCAAAGACAGAAAGGAAATGTAAATCTTTCTCTTTACATGCACCAGAAAATGCCTTTAGAATCTGTTTCTATAGCCTAAGGTGTTCCTAAGAAGCTCCTAGACAGATAGCAGGGAGCAAACTCCAGGCCTCAGTTTCCTGCCCAAAACCGTATCTCAGGAGCAAAATCACATCCCCTGAGATAAGCCTGACTACATTTCAGAGAAAACCAATTCTCCAGGAAGAGAGAAAAAGCAAGAAAGATGGAACAATGTGACCGCTCTTGAAGCTGCCTGCTAGTTACTCCACAGCTGCTTTGGTTTTAACTGACAATAATTACTATTTTTTCCTTTCTCTTTACTGCTGGCACCTCCCTTCTCCCTTCTTTGAACACCATGCGACCCAGCAATCCCACTCCTAGATATATACCCAAGAGAACTGAAAACACATATCCACATAAAAGCTTGTACTCAACTGTTCATAGCAGCATTATCCCTAACAGCCAGAGAGAGAAAAACGTAATGTCCACCAACTGATCAGCCGACAAACAAAATGTGGTCTATAGATACAATGGAATATTATCTGGTAATAAAAAGGAATGAAAGTCTTTTTCCGTGGTCCAGCTGACACCTCAATTTCAAGGAACGAAGTCCTGACAAATGCTGTGACATGGATGAACCTTGAGGTCAGTTACAAAAGGCCACATATTTATCGTATGATTCCCTCTATAGGGAAATGTCTAAAATAGGCAAATCTCTCAGTCAGAAAGATCAGTAGTTGCCTAGGGCTGGAGGATTAGAGGAGAGGAAAGGGGAACGTGAGTTACTGCTATAGGGTAAATGGTTTCTTTCTGAGGTGATGAAAACGTTCTAAAACAGACTGTGGTGATGACTGCCCAACTTTGTAAATGTACTAACAATGTGAATTACACATTTTAAACAGGTGAATTGTATCATACATGAATGATGTCTCAGTAAAACTGTTACCATCATTTTAAAAATATTACTTAAATAATATTTTAATAATTAGCTCGGCACAGTGGCTCACTATAAACTCAGCACTTTGGGAGGCCAAGGCAGGAGGATGGCTTGAGGCCAGGAGTTTGAGACCAGCTTGGGAAACATAGCAAGACCTTGTCTCAAAAAAAAAAAGAAAAGTTAGCAGGGTGCAGAGGTGGCACACAATACTTGGGAGGCTGAGGCAGGGGGATTGCTTGAACCCAGGAGTTAGAGGCTACAATGAGCTATGATCGTGCCACTGAACTCTGGCCTGGGCAGCAGAGCAGAAACTGTCTATAAAAAAAACAAATTAAGGCCGGGCGTGGTGGCTCACGCCTGTAATCCTAGCACTCTGGGAGGCCGAGGCAGGCAGATTATTTGAGCTCAGGAGTTCGAAACCAGCCTGAGCAAGAGCAAGAGCCCGTCTCTACTAAAAATAGAAAGAAATTAATTGGACAACTAAA